GATTCGTGTAGTGGAAATTTGATATCAATTTCTTTGTTTCATCGCCATTGGGTGCCGATCGAAGATTTGATATCCATTCAGGTAAGTCAATATACTATATTGGTACATTGTTATTTGTGGTGTGATTGAGATTGAGAGATGGAATTAGGTGGAGGAGCGAATGAGCAGCAGTAAGCGAAGAACAAGGGAGGAGAAGAAGAAGAAAGGGATTCTGCAATTAGGGAATTACGAGTTGGGGAGGACGCTCGGAGAAGGAAACTTCGCCAAAGTTAAATTGGCTAAGAACCTCCATTCGGCTCTCCCTTTTTCTGTTAAGATCCTTGATAAGTCCAATCTTATTCAACTCAACATCACCGATCAGGTCTTCTCTAATCTATTTTCAAATTTTCGATGTATATGTGGTCTCTTCTTCAATTGATTTTGATTTTCTTAATGGTTTTTTGCAGATAAAGAGAGAAATCTCCACCTTGAAGCTGCTCAAGCATCCCAATGTGATTCGTTTACATGAGGTATTCTTCGAACATTCGAAAATCAGAATTTAGTGTTTCTGCTTGTTTGCTTTGAAGATTAAAGTCCATTTGTTAATGGCGTTAATAGCAAATTCATCAATTAGACTTAATTTTGCTGCAGTTAAAGTAGAGGGACTAAACTTCATGTGTTTTAAGAGTAGAGGGACTAGATGAAAATTAGACCTTATTGACTAAGTTGTTGTCTATACCAATATGTTAAGAATGGTATTGATGCTAATAAAGATAAAATATTTGAATTTGAAAGATATGGCTGTCTTTCATTCTCTTTCTTTTTATGGACCAAATTTTCTATATCAAGTTTAGTATATACTTTATCTAAGAAGGAAAACGATGATCTTGTTACAGTTATCATTTGAAAGTTATAATCCAATTAATAACACTGTTACTGGACTTGGGTTAAATTTGAATATATGTTGTCAATTAGACTTTCTTTTGTTGAAACAGACAAGTAGAGGTATAAATTCCTGGAACTAAAAATATAGAACTGAATTTCAAAAGTCCAAAGAGTATAGGGACTGCATACATAATTATACCAGGAAAAGTGGTTCATAAGTTCTCACACCAGTTGACACCTCTCAGCACTAAATTTTTTGCATATATATATATATATCTTCAATTATTGTGCTCTATAAATCTGGTTTGGTGTTTTATTTATTAGAATGGGACCATTTCTGACTAATATTGGCCTGGCCTGGCTTGGTTCATCCACCCTTTGTGCGTCGGGGCCACAGCCGGGATTTAAATAGCAGTTTGCTATCGGAATCGCAACAGTTATATAAAGGTAATGGCATCGTCCGAAACTGTTATTACATGACCGTGATATCCACAATACGTAATGCGACCGCAACTGCAATTTAAATCCCTAGGCACAAGCCATTGAATCCCACATGTCACTGCTAGATTTCACGTGATAACCTAACTCAACTTGAGAAGTGTGGTATCTTCTCTGAGAAAAACTAAAGAACAAAAAAGGAAAACAACGAGAGAGACGAGATTGCATCGTAAAATACCTGCGAAAAGGACCGAATACTATTTTTTTTTTATAAAGATCGAATACTATATGTGTAGTGCAAATGGGGATGCTTCATGCTAGTTGTTCTGTTGCATAAATGGAGTAACTGTACTTGTTATTGAATTGTATAGTCTGATAACCAATACAAACTACTATTAGTTCTACTTGAGATTAGCAACTTTTGATAGATCATATATGAAGAATGCTAGCATGTGCATGCATGCTCATCTCCAGCTGAGTTGAAATCAGCTAATGACTCGTGCAATGCGTTTATTATCATGAACATATATGCAGGTGTTGGCAAGTAAAACCAAAATTTACATGGTCTTGGAATATGCAACCGGAGGGGAATTGTTCGAAAAAATTGTAAGAGACTTGAAGTTCTGGGATTTCTTCTGAAATACTTAATTACATTGATTAGCTGCTTCTTGTAATACAGACTTCCGAAGGGAAGCTTTCTGAAACTGAAGGGAAGCAAGTTCTTCCGGCAGTTAATCAATGGTGTTGGTTACTGCCATGACAAAGGTGTTTTCCACAGGGATCTCAAGGTCATTTCCGTGTCCTTCGAATATCTTTTTGATATGTTAATGTAAAAAACAAACATGTTATATGAATTTGATGAAGTTAATCTGCTAAAATCCGTTCTTTTTATGTTTCAGCTCGAAAATGTACTTATCGATGCAAATGGTAACATAAAGATATCTGATTTTGGCCTCAGCGCATTGCCTCAGCAGTCAGCATATTAGGGTATAGTGCTCTTCTAGACAAGAAAATCATGAAAATGAGAGTGCTTGTTCTACTTTTGAATTCGATTTGAAATATCAGGAGGATGGCTTACTGCATACAACATGTGGAAGTCCTAACTATGTTGCACCAGAGATTCTTGCTAACAGAGGATATAATGGTGCCGCCTCAGACATATGGTCATGCGGCGTCATCTTGTACGTAGTTCTCACAGGATATCTCCCTTTCGATGATAGAAATCTTGCAGTTCTCTATCAGAAGGTATTTGAGGACTATATTTGGTGGTTTCTCTTGTCCTTATGGACTCCAATGTCTAATCTTCTAGTGAGATTTCAGATTTTCAAAGGGGATACTCGGATTCCTAAACGGTTATCATCCGGTGCCTGGAACATGATAAGGAGGATTCTTGATCCGAATCCCATTACCAGGATAACGATGGCGGAAATAAAAAATGATGAATGGTTCAAGCAAGATTATACTCCTGCCGTACCTGATGATGAGGAAGAAGATACATACATTGATGATGAAGCCTTCTCAATGTCTGAAGAGGTATGAGCTTCCTAATAATGTGTTTAACGAGTTCTTCGCTTGGAAATTTTGAACGTAATTGATAGAAGCATTATTTTTATTTTTATGAAGGCGTATAATGGAAGTACGAGTCCTGATCACCTACTTTGATTAATGCTTTTCAGTTGATAGGCATGTCCTCCTTCCTTGACTTTTCTGGTTTCTTTGAGGAGGAGGTAAGTAGTGTAATCTGTATGCAGTATGGTCCCAGTTTTATCACTCCGATTCCCATCCTTTTTCCGAATAGCTTATCGTAAATTTATCCGTAGGATGTCTCTGAAAGGAAGATCAGATTCACATCCAATCATTCTGCTAAAGATTTGCTTGCAAGGATCCAAGACATTGTGACGGATATGGGATTTCGAGTCCAAACGAAAAACAGAAGGGTTAGTACATTGTGAAGTCTCGCTTAATGCTTTAGTGATACCGATACACACACACAGGCGCTCAATTGGTTGTAACATTCTGGTATGCTGCATAACAACAGAAACGTATAGTGCTAAACTTTGTGTATGTTCCTTTTATTTCAGTTAAAAGCAACACGAGAACACCGAGGCCACAAATGCGTCGGCAGCCTTTCAGTTGCAGCCTCGTCAGCTCTGACTTGAATTCTGCGTGCTTTCAGTCGTTTCTAACTAATCGAACTATCTTTAGTAAATAAATAAACATGTACATGTCACTGTCAGGTGTTTGAGATAAGTCCATCATTGTATGTGGTTGAACTAAGAAAATCGTACGGTGATTCCACGGTTTATAGACAGGTGCACCATTTTATTTCCCGTTTTCCTTCGCTCGAGAGCTCCGATTGTCTCGTCATACCGTTTGTTATTCCGGTTGTAATCGGAAAAAAAAACGATGTACTTGCAGTTATGTTCAAAGTTATCGAAAGACTTGGGCGTTCCTCGGTGTCAAGGCCAAGGCTTGTGTCCATAGAAGCCTGATGGACTGGTTGCTGGTTCGGCTTAGCTTGCTCAAGCAAACATATCTTGTAAATAATATAAACTTAGGCTATTTATTGTAAGTAATGTTTTTCATATTCTTTTTAATTAAAATAAAACTTAAGCACATGATATGTTGAGGAAGCAACACTCTAGGCATATACTTTTTTATGAAGCAATATTCGATTAGTTCGTATTATTAATTCAGTCAGAAATTTTATAATAAGTCTATATAATTTGTTGAGTAATTATTGATGGAATTTATACTAAATTAACTTGTGATACTAAGTCAACTAGAGATTATATATATATATATTCTCTTAAATTAAAAGCAAATGCCCTATTTTTATTCATTTATGAAGCAACATTTTAGAAGGGCTTTCAAGCAAGGTAAATATTTTACGGGGCCGAGACACAGATCGAATTTTTGTGACCTGAAAATTTCGAGTATCCATCATTTTTTGTACCTGAAAAATGTGGGTACTCGAATTTAAACATCCATAATGATTAGATCTTAAACTTTATAACTGTTAGATTAGTATTTAAATATAAATTAAACTAAAATAGAGATAATTAAACAAGATGTCCCCAGACTATGACCTATGTTATGAATTGATATTTAAACTTTAAAATATTCTTTATCAATCTCTAACCTATTATCTATTCTAAATTAATCCTTAAATTTTAAAACATTATATATAAATTCTCAAATTATTAATATCACTTCATTTTAATCTTTATGTTAATGTGAAATTAAATCTACTCTAAATAATTTAAATATTTTGTTGATGTATAAAGAGTAAAACATAGATCAAACCGATTAATTATTAATTCATTATGGTTGTTGTTACAACATTCATGATGATATAAATTCAAACAAACTTAATTATACGTAACTCTTCGATTTAAAGTTTTTTCTTTATTAATGATTACATTTAATATATATTTTAAAGATTTTTAATTATTTTATAATAAAAATTTAAATATCTTTACAGTTAAATAAATAATAGAGATCGAGTCAAAGTCGAATTTAAGTTTTAACTTTAGTTTTTTAATATATAAAGGAAAAGGGGAGTGAAAAGTAAGCGGCATCGAGTATCACGTCTCTTCTTATTAAACTAAAATTTATTAGTATTAAAAATTACTTAACCTAAGCATAAAAAGACGAAATATTAGTAGAAGTCGAGTATCAGCGTCATCGGAAAAATTCGCCGTCGCTGAGGCCGTTATCGCAGGTATTCCTCGATCGTTTGATCCCTGTGAATCGTCTTCGTTTTCTCAAAATTGTAAAGATGGAGAATTCGACGGCTGAGAAAGGGATCCCTGGACAAGAGCAGCAGGCCGCCGGAGTTGGGATTCTGCTTCAAATTATGATGCTCGTTCTCTCTTTCGTTGTCGGCCATGTTCTTCGCCGTCACAAATTCTATTATCTTCCTGAAGCTAGCGCTTCTTTGCTTATTGGTTAGTCAATTTTTTTAAACTCGTCTTTCAGATTTCATTAGGTCAGAAAAAAAGATATATAATTTTTTTTGCCAGGTTTGATTGTTGGTGGACTTGCTAACATCTCCGACACTGAAACAAGCATCAGGTCTTCCATTTATTTTCCTTTTGTTGTGGTTATCATTGTTATTATGTCTTTCTCAGTTTTCCATTTTGATAAAATTGGGAAAACCCTGATTTCATTTTTGGTATTTTATAACCTGGGCAGGGCGTGGTTCAATTTCCATGAGGAGTTTTTCTTCCTGTTTCTGCTGCCTCCAATCATCTTATATCCTTTGCATTTGTATAGATAATTGTTGGTTTGCTTCCTACTTTTTCCTTTTTCAACGTAGATGCTTCCCCTGATATCGAACTGTTTCCCCTTGACTTATCCTTTTCGCCACTCAGTCAGGGTTCAGCTTATCACCTGTAAGTATTATTAACTCCTATTACAGATAACATTATGTTTACAAGCTCTGTTATTGGTCTTTCCTGTAATTCTCATATCGTTTTCTCTTGTATTGGCAGAAGCCCTTTTTCTCAAACTTTGGAGCCATTGTCACATTTGCTATTCTAGGAACTTTTATAGCTTCAGTTGTTACGGGAGTTTTAGTGCGAGTATTTCTTCATTACAAAAATATCAGTTTTTTTCTGTTCAAGAGTTATCTTTTTCTCACTACTTGTTCACCCTCTTATGTTACAGCTATCTTGGTGGTCTGATGTACCTCATGTACAGACTTTCTTTTGTTGAATGCCTAATGTTTGGTGCTCTTATATCAGCAACCGACCCTGTTACTGTTCTTTCCATATTTCAGGTTTTTTTTTCTCCCATCTTCGCTATCTATTGTTGAAGGGCTAAGGCTAATCAAAATCATAAATATACTAATAGTTAGGGCATACATCTCCAAGACCAAATACTGCAAACAGTATAATCGTATTCCCTCAATTCTCCTGCTTTCCCATTCATTAGCTGCTTAATTTTTGTAAATATGCAAGTCAATTTTAACTATCTGTTGCAAGTGGTATTCAAAGAGTTTTTTCTGTTACTCTCTGCTACTGGTTCTTCCACTTAATTTAACAAAATGTCAAGCTGTAGGTATAGCGGTTGTGAAAAATCAAAGTTCTTTTCCCTCTTTTACCTTTTCAGGATTTATAACACTAGTGTTTAAGCCGTAAACATATGAACTACGTGATCAATGTGTGATGATCTTAACTGTAGGAACTTGGCACTGATATGAACCTTTATGCTTTGGTCTTCGGGGAATCTGTCTTAAATGATGCTGTAAGTTTTTGTAGCATTCTATCATTGGTCCATTCTTTCATGTTTTTAATATATTTTGCTGTGCATGCACATTACTTAATGGGTGAAATGGTTCTTTATGCAGATGGCAATATCTTTGTACAGGTAAATTGGGTACTGCATTTGTCCTTTGTGGTGAGAATGGTTAGTTTGGTTTTTAAATAAACTGTTTTTTCTATATGCAGAACAATGTCTATTGTAAGGAGTAATGATCCATCTGGGCAAAACATCTTTATGGTGATTGTTAGGTTTCTTGAGACTTTTGTTGGCTCTATGTCTGCAGGTCTGTCTTAACCTTTGGTCTTGCTGAGATTTCGTATATCTTTGTTATATTGAAACTTATATCTACATTAATGGATAAAGAAAAGAAAATTTTGCTAAGCTTCATCTTGCAAGTGAATACATGGTAAATTGCTGTCCTTTTGCCATCCTTATTGTTACTTTATTTTAGGCTTTTTACGTCCTAGTTACCAATGTATTGTTAATCATTTTAGATGTGGCCTAAATGAGCAGTGTTTTTCCTTTTTTATGGTAGCCTTTATATATACATGCTTAAAGTCCTAAAACAGGAAACTGACACTAAGCATGAGGTGTGTGGCTAAACAAGGCTTTTAGTGCTAGGACAGCTGCAAATAAACAATCCTTTCTCTCTTGTAGTAGTGTACAGCCAAATAAGAGAACAAAATAAAAAGCCAAGCTCCTTTGAGGTGTGTGGCTAAACAAGGCTTTTAATTCTAGGTCAAGTGCAAATAAACTTTTGGTTTATTTCTGCTTAGGTCCTTGAATTTAATCGAACAATCAGATTAAATCTCAAAGAAGTCTTAATTACTTCAATTGATTCAATCTAGTAATGTATTTTTTTAATTTTATTAGTGAAGACTGAAGAGACTAAAATGTGTTTGTATTGTTATATAATTTTTCATCCCAAGAAATACAACAAACAGTAATGTTGTTTTTCTTTTTGATTAACTAGAAATCTAGCAGAGTACAAACACACCTCAAGGGAAAAATGGAAGATTTTTTCTAAACCAAAAAAACGGGAAAAAAATGAAAGAAAAATGCTTTATCTCAATTTCCCAATGCAGTTATTTTCTGTTACCGATTGATCTTCTACCCATTCCATACTTTTATGCACTTTTAATCACAATAACTGAGATTCTTTCCATGGTGTGCAGGTGTTGGAGTTGGATTTACTTCTGCTCTTATATCCTTCCTTATCTGTCTTTTATATTTTTATAAAATGTTTTATACCATCAACTCGAAGTTGTTTTGTGCTTTGAAAACTTTAACTCCTAGAACCTCTTTAAGTATGCTGGATTAGATATTGACAAGTAAGTACTTGATGTCAACCTTTTGGTTCCTTTATGAAGTGTATTTTGATTCTGGAAATTCCTGACTGGTATATCTCATCATTACTGTTTTCAGTCTTCAAAACATGGAGTGCTGTCTTTTTGTTCTTTTTCCTTATTTCTCGTAAGTAGTCTACCCTTTATGATCTTTTTTCCCCACCTTTTTATTGTTAATGAACCCATTGGGCAGTTAATTATGAAAATATATCTTCTAGGTACATGCTTGCGGAAGGTCTCAGCCTTTCCGGTATTGTGTCAATATTGTTCACTGGAATGGTAAGTGAACTTACAGTGCTCTGATTGAGTAGTAGTAAATTAAAGGTTGATGCGACATGATGGACTTTTTTTTTCTTTTAGGTGATGAAGCACTACACATACTCAAATTTATCAGAAAATTCCCAACGTTTTGTATCCGACTTTTTTCACTTAATATCATCACTGGCTGAGACTTTCATGTAAGAAATTTACCCAAGGGAGTTATCTTTGTTGAATGGGAACTGATTTAACTTCTTGTCCGTGCCATGACTTTCCATTGTGAATCAAGATTATTTTGTACAATTTTGCAGATTTATATACATGGGTTTTGATATTGCCATGGAAAAGCACAGCTGGTCGCATGTGGGGTTTATCTTTTTCTCAATTGTATCCTGGCATTATTATTATTATTATTACTTTTTTTGTGAACCTAGATTTGGTGCTAAATTATGGTCTCATAGTTATTCCTTGACTTCCTCCATTATCATGTCAGTTATTTATTGCAGTTGCAAGGTAAATGAGCTATATATGATGATATCCTGGACCTTCAAAACAAAATAACTATTGATCATTCAATTTTTGAACTATTTGTTGTTGATGGATCTATATAGAATAATCAATGAGATTGTATATTTAAATCTTTAGGGCTGCCAATGTCTTTTCTTGCGCGTATCTGGTCAATTTGGTTCGTCCTTCACATAGGCAAATACCTTTACAGCACCAAAAAGCACTTTGCTACAGTGGTAAGAGAAATACTAGTTTCATCCTAGTTGGATATATACCTTTTCAGAAACTAAACTACTATCTTCTCGACTAGGACTTCGAGGGGCAATGGCTTTTGCTCTTGCTCTGCAATCTGTTCATGATCTTCAGGATGGACATGGTCAGATTATTTTCACTGCAACAACCGCCATAGTTGTTTTGACGGTATGTGAGAAAATCTCTACTCTAATTTGAGAATTATATGCTGAAAATTTATTTTGAATTTTAGCTTCTCTAGGTGATATATTTTGTTATTCATTCAGTGCTCATTGCTTAGACATGAAGGCAATATTAATTTGCTTGACTCTGCGATACCATTTCTATCTTTTGAAATTTTCGGCTTCTAGTGGTAAAGATAACTTGAAGCATTGGTTCTGTAGTTCTATATGGTCCCCGCCCCCAGGCCGCGGTAGCTTGGAGAAGAAATTGGCATTTAGTGTGGATAATGAAGTGTATAAGTTAATGTTGACACTAATTATGCTACCTTCACTATGCATCTAATACTAATATGGTAGTCGCATCTTATACTAGTATCATTATCAAGAGTTGTTGGCATAACTGGTTTGTATATTAGTGGTTTCCATTTGAATTAAATTTGGTTCTCAAATTCATTCTACTTCCAACATGCATTACTGATTCACTAGAAATTCAGTAACTTGCTTTTCATTATAATCTTTATCCTCTGGATTAGATAACCCACAAAAGACAGTTTTTTTTTATTAGCTATATGAGTGTTAAACTAACGTGAAACCTTGCATGTCCAATGGTATGTAGATAATTGCATCTTCTGCATCCGTACTTATTTCAAGAGTTGTAAAATAAATACATCATGATCTTAGTGTGGTTGTTGATGCTTATCTTTGTAGTAACATTTTTTTTAAATAAATGTGGCAGGTATTGCTAATTGGAGGTTCAACAGGTACAATGCTAGAAGCTCTGCAAGTTGTGGGGGATGGTCATGATGCCCACTTAGGAGAAGTAAGTTCCACAGAAACTATGCTATCTATATTAAATTAATATTTTACGATAAACTCTCCCCTGTTGTAGATGTTTTTACGTCTAGGAATGTGTGCGTGTCTGTTTCAGAATAGGGGGAGGCTCCACTGCATCTTCCTTACCTGATTGATCATTTCAGATTTTGTCTGAACTGCTAATCAACGAGAATCAAGTAAAAATGTTGAATTAGGAAACTGCTGCTGCCATCATGATGATGGCCGTGTTTTGTTGTGAATATTAAAAAGAAATTGATGAGCGTTTTTTAGTGGTTTTCGCATAAATAACAGAAAGCAATAATTTCTTGCAGGGCTTTGATGGTAATAATGGATATATTCCTACAGCTTGTGATGAAGATGGAACACCGGGGAACAAGATAAGGATGAAACTGAGAGAGTTCCACAAAAGGTTATATGTCGATATTTTTGCCTTTAATCATGATCAAGGATCTATCAATTAATCTTCTAATTTTTTATATTGAAAACCATTTTGTACCCTGCAGTGCGGCATCATTCTCTGAATTAGATAGGAATTACCTCACCCCATTCTTCACAAGCCAGAATGGAGATGATTATGATGAAAAGGGTAAAATTTGCTTTTTCCTTTCTTCCATTGACACTGTTAATCAGTTGTGTGCATTGTGGTCCATTTCTGTTAATGTCGGTCCTTTGAAATTTATCAGATGACCCGATGCCCAGTTCTAGAAGTGGGGGATTCCGAGGACAATAGCTAATCCTACAAGACAAGCAGATGATGACACATAAGCTGGTACATGGAACTAACTTTACAAAATACTTTACAATGGATTTCAATGCACTGCGTGTCCGGTTTGGGGGATGTACATATAATTAAAGATCGCCTCGTATCCGTCCTACATTATAGGGTAGTACTTTGTTATATAACGAAATTTTTGTTATGAAGATGGATCTATGGCATGCATTGTGTTGTATCGGTGCCATTATTTTCCGTGATGTCGGTGAGGGATTACGGTTATAACATGGTGTGATTGTTCCGGAGTTGGGGAGTTACGTAGGAGATAATAGATGTTAACAGTGATTCTCGTGTTGATGAAAAGATGGAAATTCATTGTGTGACTTGTAAACTAACTCGGTGTTCGAGATATGGTAGGAAGTGTTTTTCTTAGAAATAGAAACATATGATTTGATGATTTATTGTCTACTCTGTATCTGCATGTTATATATGCAACTTAACAGCTTTTCTCTTGAATTCTGTTATCAATCCTAATGGACGTGTTAAATTTCGAAAATTCAATACATAATCAACCAATTAGGTAACATATAATGGCTTCATAGCATAAGTTGTTTTATTGACATAAACATTACACAGCACAACATCCCTTCGTGGCCTTATACATCATGGTACACATCAAGATTAGAAATAACACTGGCAAGTGTCGCAGTTATACAACATTAGGACCTTGCTCTATTAACAATGCAACCAAAGTTTGTCGTTTTGTCAGCCGGACAGTCTTTCCACTCGCATTTCTTCGACTACGGTGAACCTGTGAGAATCAATTCCGGATGTAAACTTTTCCCTTACTTAATACCGTTTATATTTACACCACCTTTCTCAAAAACAGGAATTTAAATTTCTGAATGAATCATAAACTTATCTTGGAGGGTAAATCGCTCATCTACAAACACTTGCACAAATCATTGTTTATTTATTTGTGACTGTCGTTGTGTGCTAACGGTATAAAGTACTAGGAATTGTACTCCTAAGAGTCTTAGTAGCTGCCGAATTGTTTGGTGACACACCACACATTGAAGGAAACACCGACTAGCATTGGTCTATCAAAATTCTTGCCCTCTCTTTTCCGGAGATATTTCTCGTATTTTTGTGCGGATCACTATTCGAGGCGGCACATATAAAGCTTATGGTTTGCTATAACTCTTGCTTGGTGGCTTTGGTCGATTGATACTCTACGAAGATACAAGGTATAGATCCTACACTTTGTGGTTATGCTTCTACTATAATTTTAATTTTGATCTTAATTCATGTTTATATCAATTCCCAATGGTATTTACCTATGATTGACCTTACAAAGTGATAAGCTCCCAATCCTCTTTCGACAGATCAAGAAATCCAACACAACCGTTTTCAAGCATACCTGCAACCACATAGAAGCACTTGACCTGCGTATCATCGGTTATACTTGAATGAAAAAAGGAAAAACAGAAACTAACCGTGTGCTTTTTTGAATACTTGTCAAATCGTTTAATAATCCCGAAGTAACTGAAAATATTCAGTCAGAAATGAAATTTATAAGTTTCTGCGTAAACAGGATAAGGAACCTACAACGCATAACGAAGACAAAATAACAGCAGAAGAAAAAATAATAAAAGCTCAACAGAAGTTATTCAGCCATCATTAATCATGGTACACCCAACTAAAAGATGCAATTCGAAAAACTTATCCGACTTCAGAACAATTGGAATGACTTATTTTCTGAAACCTTATATCGCTTAAAAGAGCAACACAAATGAAAAGGACAGATTCTAATTCTGATATAGTTTCCTGGTTTCTTCTTTCTAAGCCAACTAGTAACTTCTTCCATATCATAACTTAATTCGGGGGGGGGGGGAAGAAATTAATCATAAGTACACGTCATTTAAACAAATAAACCTAACCCGATATTTGAAAAGTCAAATCTTTCATATGCACCTATCATTTATTGGAAGAGACATTTTTATCACTTCACCGATGCAACATCGAAAACTATCCGCCGCCGATTATAAGCATGCCGAGAAGTTCCTGAAATTAAGTGCCAGCTTCAAACATTTGATCCACTTGAAGCAGTTAATATAAAAGGCGTGGAGAAAGAGCAATTTACTTACCGACAGGCAAACTTCCATTCTGCTTAACCCAAGAAAAAAGGACAATTAGTTCAAGTGTTTGCCGAAGTGTACGGCATGCATATAATACCCAAGAAAGCAGTGATTCAATGAAATGCTCAAACCACAATACATAACCAAAATGAATAAAACAACTCGGTCACAATCGATAAGTACTAGCGCAAATGTAATAGAAACTAGCAATATAAGCAAGCAATCATCAATAACCAAATCGAAAAGGACAGAAATTAAACCATAAACACAAAGTAAATAGAGAATACATGTTTGAATTTTGAAATGCATATTGTATTCTTGATAGTATCAAAAAGGTCTCTTAATGCATACATCTTTTCCAAATAGCACAGCTTTCAATGTCGGAGAGGACACTGCCACTTGGCATGCTACTAGCTTTAATGCAGCAGCATCTAATGACATCTTCAGCTTGCTGGGTTTGATGCCCAGTTTTCGCCTGCAGCCAGCTGCACCAAATTGAACAATCCTGCTAAATTTGTTAGATTGTACTCAGACTAAAGGTTTCAAAGGAACCATCAGCAGTGGCTTCAGCATTTCATATGAAGAAGGATTGATTTAAAACTTCAGATTTTACTATCAGTGAATGAAATGCCACAGAGAGTTGGGCAAGCACTCATACTGATAATCATAGGTCAGAGGCTCGCCCTTTTTTATATCTCGCAATGCAAATATGCCAATCCTTGTTTCACCATCAATTATCCTGAGGTTAAAAAACAAAACAAAGAGGTGTGAGATCAGCATATCACTTAAAATCAATGCAAGTCTACTAATATGGATAGGTATAGAACCATTTCTGCATCTCAGTATTGGGGCAGCAACTATGGTTTATATATCTGGATTTGTTCCCCTTGGACATGGCATCAATTACCATATCACGATTGATTTCACATAAGTAGAAATTGATTTCTCCATGATGCTTCATCTTCCAAAGCCTCTCCTCACATGTTTTGTCATCAATAACTACAGTGACAAAAGATTATCCAAAAATTTGCAAACTTCAAAAAAATAGAAACCTGATTATTATAGGGATAGCAACTACAGTGGATAGGGCCAGAGTTCTGTACCTTCCCCTACATACTCTATTACAAACTCTCCATGCTTAATATCTTCATCTGCCACAACGCGGCCCCACATTTCTCTGTCTACAAGTATTACCCTATTTAACTTCACACTTCAAAGAGTACAAACAACAAACGACAATTGAGAGTGGCCGGTTTCCAACAAAATATATAAGATTTTTTTATTAACAGTGCTATGTCAACGAATCCATGTTATACTCTTCAAATAGAAAAAGAGAAGGTAAAATAGGAAAGCTTAGCTATTATTTGGAAGAGATCAGCTCTTTCCCATATACTCCTACAGATCCTAAAGGGTTTCAACACTTGCAATAATCCTGGTCTGATGAGAACTTCAACAAAACACAAATTGAATCAAGATGATAATAAAGAAAATCAACACTATACCTGGATCAATTTCAATTTTTTGGTAGGTCGGCATTGGAAGGGTTTATTGAGTCATGAACTCCCACAGCTGCAGTCAGAAGAACAACTAGACAGTAGCATCCTGCGTATAGCAATAAAATTAAAAACGCAACTCCATACTACTTGTGCAGAGTAAGAATATAAATCATAATAAATGCACGAGTATGAAACATTACCAAATCGCATGTTACACCTCCACCCAAAAAAATAGTCTATCTGGTTTGTGAAGGTATCTAGGTAACAATGACATCAACTTCTAAAACAGTATTGATTTCAACAAAAGTGGCTGGGATTTTTTTTTCCTTTACTGGTTCTTTCTCAGTAACTCTCAATTCTTTGCTGATACAGTAGATTAGGTTGATGTCCACAACACTAAAAGATCAAAAAAGAGTTATCTACATACTAAATTTATAAGCTATGTTACTCAAACTAGTGTGAATGTTGTACATAGAGAGTATCTCACAAAGGTAGCTTCAATTGGTTCTAAATTTTTCCATGTATTATTTTGAGGGTCTGTTAAGGGTCACATCCCAAATCCCATGATCAGAAATGTGTTGAGCACAAGTGTCAAACACGGGTCCGAATAAGGTAGTTTATTAGAACTGTATACTTTCAAAGTTCTAAACCCTTATCCCGTGGATGCTATCACCAAAAAAAAACTCACTAACAGGCAAACACCCATCTAATTGCTGCAAAAGTTTACCAGCAATCGTAGCCAGACAATATAACAACCCTAGTTTCTACCAAGATGATAAAACATAAGCAGAAATTTCCCCAAACTTAACCCACTACAAATCCATAAAGCCGGGTTAATCAAACCTTCCACATGATATAATGTAAAAGAAAAGTACATAAGTAAAGATAAAAGCATCTTATAACAACAATTTTAGGGGCACGGTAGTCTTGTGCTGATATGGGGTTCTCATCCAATTATGACATACGATTTAAGGCTCAAGATGAAATACACTTCAACAAATCCAAAAAGAATCACTTATAATGTGGTTCAATAGTGAATTCTGATCAACAAAGACAAATCTTACCCACAGTGGCAATCTCTGCCACACACAGAGGAACCAGATGATGAAGTGCAAGAACAGAAGATACCATCATCGTCCAGGCGCCTTTTAATCCTCTTTGTGAGATATATGTCTTAAAGTTGTTAAACCAACAAAATAATAGTATATAGAAAAATATGATCAACGAAAAGTCAAATCTCTTAGAAAACAAAAATGGAAACTACAAGATAAAGGTCAGAGGGCATGATAAGGGCCATTCAATGATAAACCTGAGTTGTGGAGGAAGAACAGTTATGAACTTCTATGAAAAGGATTCTGTGCCTTCTAAAGGTGTACGGTGTAGGTTTCGACTTATTAAACCAATCTGGTAGTTCAAAATCAACTAGATGTCCAATTTTCTTCAACAACTTATTGAATGCGTAACCAATGTGACTGCAATCAGAATTATGGTAAACAAGGAAAATCCAATAAGAAAATTTACCATATCTTTAACATATATATATATATAATTGCTTCAAAAATCCAACAGAACCACAATGTACTGACTGCTAAATTTTTTAAAAAAGAAGAAGTAGAATTAATGAGACCAATGGCAGGCAGAAAAATGTAAAGTAAACCTTCTTTGTAGCAGGCATGGCCTCTCAAGTATTTTAAAGGCAAAGAATATCTAACAATAATTACCTACACAAACCAAAATGAAAGAATCAGTATTCAATGGCAAAGTAGAAATGTTACAAATAGTAGCTGTGTGACTCAAAATCAATAATTTTACAAATTCCCACGACAGATTCGGTTTTCCCGGGGCAAAAAACTCTCTTTTTAGCCA